TGGTAAAGATTTGCAGCCTTGGAAACCCTATGGGGCAGTTCTACTCTGTCCTATAGGGTCACTATAAGTTGGAATCAACTTGATGGCAAGGGGTTTACATTCCATGGGATGTCACTAGAAGTTTGGAAAGCAGTTCTGTGGTCAAGCACATGTGGGTAATGCCGGAGACAGTAGAGAGTGCTAGATCAGACAAAGCATAGGTTCTGGACTCAGACAGCCTATTCAAAACTTTGCTTCTTAGTAGTTTTGTGATCTTGGAGAATTATTTAACCTCTCTGTGCTTTATTTTCTTCTGTAAAATTGGAATCCTAGTTGTACCCTTCTCTTGGTTGATGTGATGATTAAATGAGTCAATCCCCCAAGATGTCATTGTTATTAATAAACGTTAGCCCAGACAAAGCCCTACAGGTTTCTTTGCTGCAGGACTTCTCAGAGCCTTTGCTATGCTAATGAACATAGTGATCTCCAAGGCCAGGATGGGGAGATCTGTCAGGCACCATTCCAAACTGCCCAGAGAATTCATCTTACCTCATGGGGCAGATGTTCCGTGAGATATACTTTGGAATTCTAGAGCTAGTCTATTTTATCCTAGAAGAAATGCAACCAGAGAGGTGAAGTGAGCAGACCAAAGTCACACAGCAAGTGTATAGTGGCAGAATTGGAACTAGAATTGAGTTCTCCTGACTCCCATTCGAGTGCTCTTTCTAGCATACATCATGGCTTTTACCTAAAGAATAATGACAACAATAATGTAACAACTAATATTTACTAAGTGTTTACTCTGTCCCAGGCACTGTGATAGGCTCCTTACATTCATGATCTTATGTTTATTCTCTCAACAGTTAGGTAGGGGCCGTATCAAACCCACTATGCTGGGCTCAGAGAGGGGAGGTAACTTGCCTGGCATCACACAGCCAGTGAGTGGCAAAGCCAAGACTCAAACTCATATCTGCCTGGCCAGCCCTGAGACCCTGGCTTAACCACCTCATGCCATACATCATGAATGTCTAATGGCAGAATTTTAGACTTGAGCCAGGGAGCAGTGCCCTAGAAAAGACATGCATCTTGCCCCTACCCTGCTCTTCTCAGGATGGCTGGGTTTGGGGGTTCCCGGCTCTGGCCTTTGCCGCCGGCCCAGGCCTCTGGGACTGACTGCTCAGCACCTGGCTCTTCTGCCAAATGATTTTGGCCAGAACTAGGCTTTGGCGTCAGCTCTGATGGAAGCTGCTTTGCGCTGAGAGCCTCTTGTCAGCCTGAAATCAGGACGAGCCTTCAAGGCGGCTCCCCTTTGGGGCTCCCTGTTTAATAAAGATGCTGCGGTTGTTCGACCAAAAGACCTCTTTGTCTGAGGCCCTCCCAGCCCTCGCATCCTCTGCCCCCAGAATGCCCGTCTCTGTCAGCATGAAGAGCCCCTCTGTTCACTGCTGGCTGCATGGTAAGCAGTGGCCCGGCCCAGGGTCTGTGCCTGGGGTGGGTGGCAGCGCTGAGCTGGGAGGACCAGCTCCCTGGCCCTGGCTGGAAGCCTGCCCTTCATCCCCTCGCCTCTCTTTCAGGGAGCTCGCCCTGGCAGTGACTGTCTGCACACTGCCTGGAACCCTGGTGATGGGCTGCCTACGGCCTCCCATCCATCCTGACCCCCATCGGTGTTCCCTCCTGAAACCTCAGTCTTCCCCCAGGAGTCCTCCTCCGCTGACTCTACACATTGCTTACACATGCCTGACTTCCTCTCTTCCTCCTCCTCCTCCTCTGTCTTCTTTCCTCCCTCCTTCTCTCCCTCTCCTTCCCCAGTTTTCCTTTTGCCCTTCCTGAGGAGGAAACAGCACATACCATACATGCTCAAAGACGACTTGAGCACTTTGGGGGCAAGTTCCACTCACTCCTACCTTCTGAGCATGGGGCTTGGATCCTGCCACTTACCTTAGTCATGGATTCCACCTCAACAACCTCAGTGTCCCTATTGTAGATGGAGGCAATGGTATCTACCTCCAGGGTGAGATGAGGTGACATATCATTAGAATGTGCTCTTGGGAGGGCAGGAGCTTTGCCTTGCTCATCCCTGTAACACCACAGCACAGCCCTCTGTCAGGCGCACTGAAAAGCCTGTCAGATGGATGTATGAGCGAAGGGGACTAGTACAGTGCCTGACACATGGTAGTTGCTCATTAAATGTTCATTTCTTTTATTTTCTGCTTCTTGGTTGTTCATGGGACGTGATATGTTAGAGACCCCTGGAAAGCCACGGGTTCTAGAAGGAAAGGCTGGGAGTTGCATAGTGCTGTCTTATCTGGTCTGTCTTGGTCTTGTCTTGTCCTGTGCCATCTTGCCCTGATATGGGTTTGGTATCATGAAGGGCCTTCGTGGTGGGTGCTTAGTACTAAATGCCACACTTGAGTTATTGTCTGGCCAGTGCAGAGAAGAATTAAAACTATCACTTCCCTCTTCCTCCACATTATAACTCTATTGATGGAACCCTAGACCACATTTGTTTTTTTTACCCGTTATTATGTCCTACTGCTTTTGGACATTGGACTAAAATGTACACTAAAGTGTACACAAAGGTACACTAAAAGCCTTATTCATTCATTCAAACAAATATCTATGGAGTGTCTGCTCTGTGCCAGGCACTGTTTTAGGAGCTGGAGATGCAGAAGCCAACAACACAGACTGAAACCCCTGACCACAAGGAGCTGCATTCTAGTGGGGTCTTTTCTACCCTTGATGGGTGCCTATGGGAAGGCCAAGTGGCCTCTCTTAGCCTCCGTTTCCTCATCTGTGACATGAGGACAGTAATCCTGCCCTCACGAGGACCATCATGAGGATTCCAAGTGACTACAAACGTGAGAGGACCCACCACGCTGGGCACATGGGAGTCACTGGATCCGGTCAGTTTCACCTAGAGATGAGGGAGACATGGGTCTGTGAGGCTCCTGTCCAACTGACCAAGAGGCTCCTTACCAGCAATTCCCCACATTCCCGTGTTTGTGGATTCCTTCAGTACCAAGTTTTCCTCTTTCTTCTCCTGGCTCTTAGGGTGGTTGGAACATCCCTTGGTTCCCTTGCTTTGGCAATAACTTCTGTCATCAATTTGGACCCAGGGATCATTCCTGGCCCCAGCATTTTCTCCTTATACTGAATTGAGGGACCCAGGAAGCTGTGTTACACCTGGCCTAACCCTACATCTAGGATTGTTGGATTGGGCCATGTCAGGGATCCCATGTGTCCTGTCTGCTAGGTGTGGAGGATGTGCTGGTATGTAACATGAACTCTGCCATTTCACAAAGTTCCCCATCGTCCCACCCTAATCCCTCACTCTCAACTCTCCTTGGATGACAAGCTCACAGCTGGCCCACACTCTTGCCTTGACTATTATCTTCATAGGATGCCCACCACTTCTCTCTGCCTGATCAAATCCTGCAAACCCCTCTAGCCCACTTCATTCCCACTCTTCTAAGAAGCTTTCCACACCCCTTCAGTCTACACTTCAGGCATCCTCACCTTGGCCTAAATCTGGCTCCTGCCCACTTCCCATGCCCCCTGTCCCTTGCTCTGTACATTCTAACCACATTAACCTTCATTCAGCTCCTGGCATCACCATGCTTGATCTTCCCACTCCACTTTGACCAGTTAATTCCTACCCATCCTTTGGAACTGAGCTTCAAAGATGCCTTCTTAAAAAACTCATCCCCAATCTTCCTAAATCCTATTAAACTCTGTCGTAACACCCTGTTCTTTTCCTTGGTAGCAGTTATCAACTTGTCATTAGAAACACCAGAAGCTGTGACTCTACCCTTTGAGACTCCAGAGGTCGTGGTCATACCCTTTGAGACTGAGGCAGCTCAGTTTCCTGTGTTTCTTGTCTCTTCATCTTCTGCTTCCTGGTTTCTTGGCCTCTCTGCCCACGTCTGCCCTGCTGGGGCAAGTGTTCCAAAGCTCTGTAGCTCCACCAATAAGTACCTGGAGGCACTCCACTCTTCCAGTAAACTTTAGATGGAAGACACTCAGCTCTCTTGCTCAGTGGGTTGGCTGGACTCCTGGGTCTACTGCTGCTGGTTCTCTGCAGCTGCTTCTTGCCATCTGTTACATCTCCAGTGTAACAGCTTTCCTCATTTCCCTCTGAGTCCTCTATCCTTTCACAGTTCCAAAACCACTTCCACATTTTAGGTATCTGTTAGAGCAGCACCCCACTCCTGGTTCCAAATTCTGTCTTGGTTATCTAATGATGCTATAACATAACGGACCACAAGTAGATGGCTTCAACAAACAGAAGTCCGTTCTCTCACAGTCCAGTAGGCCAGAAGTCTGAATTCAGGGCGCCAACTCCAGAAGAAGACTCTCTTCCTTGGTCAGCTCTGGGGGAAAGGTCCTTGTCATCAGTCTTCCCGGGTGAGGAGCTTCACTGTGCAGGAACCCCAGGTCCAAAGGACACACTCTGCTGCCTTCTGTCTTTTATATCTCTTGTAAGATAAAAGGTGATGCAGGCCACACCCCAGGGAAACTCCCTTTACATTGGATCAGGGATGTGACCTGAGTAAGGGTGTTACATCCCACCCTAATCCTCTTTAACATAACCCAACCTAGCCTCATTAACCACAGGTAGAGATTAGGGTTTACAATGCATAGGAAAATTACATCAATCACAAAATGGAGGACAACCACACAATACTGGGAATCATAGCCTAAACCAAGTGGATGCATATTTTAGGGGGACACAATGCAATCCATAACAGCTGGTTAGTTAGTTAGTTGATTAATTGGCTGGTTGGTTAGTTGGCTGATTTGTTAATTGATTGGATGGATGGATGGATGGACGGACGGACGGAGAGGTGTTTAATTTGTTGATTAGTTGGCTGATTGTTTGGGTGGGTAGGTAGTTGGCTATGTTTTCCACCGCACAGCCTTTAATCCTCTCCCATCACTGTTGACCTGAGTTGACCTTACTTTTGATTTTCCTATTCCCAGCCTCATCAGGCCTAATGTTCTTTCTTCCTATCTTTCCACAGGCACTTGTCCGGCTGCCTCCCCACATTTCACAGTGTGATGAGGTCTTTCGGTTCTTTGAGGCCCGACCAGAGGACGTCAACCCCCCAAAAGAGTAAGTAGAACTTAGGCCTCTTCTGTGTGCTTGAGAGGTGTGGGCCAAAGCTGAGACCAGCCTGGAGAGGCTGGGAATGTGGGGACACAGGTAGAAGGAGCACTGTCAAGGCCAACCAGGCTAAGGAAAGATGGGCCAAAGGCATAGTGGACCCTTATTCCCCAAAATCCTACTGCCAAACCAAAGCTTGCTCTTTATTTCCCCTCACCCCAGAGCTGGCGAGTGAGAGTGTCTACATTTGAGGAGCAGGTTTCCCTGCAAACTCTTTCTAGCTCATGGGGTTATTATAAGCAGCAGATGAGATAACAGGAAATATAATGGATATGCTGTTCAGATGTCCAAGGTTAGCAGCCATTGGTCTTAATGGTTAATGCTACAAAGCTCCCTGCAGAAATACAGATATAGGAGGACACGTGCTGCCCAGACTGAAAGGTTACTCGCAGAATAACTCAGGTGTCCCAGGCTGTTACAATAGATTCTATAATGGTCATTAAAAATAACAGTGAAGAACAGGATACAAGTAAAAGATTAGTCCAAAGGACTGATGGACCACAGCTACCAAGGCCTCCACCAGACTGAGTCCAGTACAGCTAGATGGTGCCCGGCTACCACCACTGACTGCTCTGACCGGGATCACAACAGAGAGTTCTGGACAGAGCTGGAGAAGGATACAGAACAAAATTCTAACTCACAAAAAAAGACCAGATTTGCTGGCCTGAGAGAGACTGGAGAAACCCCGAGAGTATGACCCCCGGACACCCTTTTAGCTCAGTGGTGAAGTCACTCCCGAGGTTCACCGTTCAGCTGGGGATTGGACAGCCCTATAAAACAAAACAGGTCTAATGAGGCACAGCAGTCCAGGGACAAGGACTAGAAGGCAGGAGGGGACTGGAAAGCTGATGATAGGGAACCCAAGTTTGAGTAAGGACAGCGTTGGCATGTCGTGGGGTTGTTAACCATTGTCATAGGGCAATATGTGTACTAACTGTTTAATGAGAAACTACTTTGTTCTGTAAACCTTCATCTAAAGTACAAAAAAAAAAAAGAATTATCAATGTGAGATCAAATTGACAACAGCAACTCAAACGTTTTGATGGGAAGCCTAGGGGACAGTGAGTTGAAGACAATGGTGATGGAATAATTTGGAAAAGGATAGTGAGAATAGCAGCACAACTGGAAGAATGTAATTGATGTCACTGAATTGTATATGTAGAAATTTTTGAAATGGTGTATCTTTGGCTATGTATATTTTCACCAAAAAAAAAAGGTCCTCCAAGGTTGAGAAGGGAGAGTGTTGACATGTGGTGGGGTTGTTAACCAAAGTCATAAAACAATATGTGTACTGACTGTTTAATAAGAAACTATTTGTTCTGTAAACCTTCACCTAGAGTGCAATAAAAATGAAATTTAAAAATAACAATGAAGGTGTATGGAGCGTTTGCCAAATGCCTTTTATCGATGGCATTTTATGATAGACATTAGTAGCCCTGTTAATAGAGGAGGAAATTGAGGTCCAGTGTGATTAGGTGATTTTCCCAAAGTCATGCAGTTTGTTGAGTAAGCAAGATGCAGGAAACTTTGAACCTGAGTATTTGATTCCTAGAGGCCCAGTGCTGTCTGATGTTTGCATGTCAGATCACATGATCTAACTTTAGAGAGAAATGTGGAACCAAGAAGGTCTTTTTTCTCTCTGGCACCAGGAGACTCTGGGCCTAGTGGGTTAAAATGTTCTGCCCAGCCATACTGACTTCTCACACGTGACCAAACTCCATCCTAGTGGCCACCTCTCTTGCTCAGAGGGATTCTGTCACCTGCATTCCACAGTATAGGTTCTCAAGAGAGAGAATCCAGTTTCCACCCAGGAGGTAATGGTGGAAGAAAGCAGCCAGGTAGGGGTGTTGGGTAGGGGAGAGGACTGAAGAGGATGCTCACTGATCACTTCACTCCTGTATCTGTTCCCTTGAAATCTTGTAAGTACCAGGGTGGTCGCAAGAGAGGCAGATGGTGTGGGTACCACAGAGGAAAGGGTAAGAATGGGACAGAGGATATATCTGGGAACAGTGGGGAGAAGCAGGGGACCACCTGATGATGGGGAGGAGAAAGCCTGAAGACAGGAATGCCACGTTGCCCAGCTCCCAGGGTGCCATTCATAATCTACTCTCTGTAAATGGTGCCAGCAGAGTTGTAGAGTACACAGCCTGCACACCCATACATGGCCGTCCTGCCTACAGGGGCCCCTTTCTTTTCAACCATGCTGTAAGACTAAGAGCCTGAAATGGCCTGCACCATTTGAGGGAGGAAGAAGCATCACCCAGGGCAGAGGCTCACCTGCCCTGACAAAGGCCATCTCCCTTGCTGGCTACCACAGACTTAACAAGCAAAAGCCACAAGCCATCAGAAACTCAACAGTGACTTGGTTCACAATGCAGAGTACTGTGATGGTATAGGATGCAAAGTCTTGAGTTCAAGTCCCAACTCCATTGTTTCCTAGCTGCATAACTCCAAGGGATCACTCGCATAGCTCCCCTAAGCCTCTGTTTCCTCATCTGTAAGAAGCAAATAGTAATTAATCCCTGCTATTGCTACCTCCATAGCCGCGGCGGCACAGTGGTTAAGAGCTTGTCTGCTAACCAAAAGGGCAGCAGTTCGAATCCACCAGCCACTGCTTGGAAACCCTATGTGACAGTTCTACTGTGTCCTATAGGGTTGCTATGAGTCGGAGGCGACTCAATGACAAGGGGTTTGGTTTTTTGGTGTTGCTACCTCCAACCAAGATCAATGTATGAAACTCGGGTGAGATGAGGTCTGGGAACGAGTTTTGTAAACCACAAAATGAAATACAAATATTTGTTCTCATCAGAAGGAGACACATGTTCTCACTGTACCTGCTATGTGTCGGGTTCCCGAGAAAGGTTTGCACCAGGATTTATGCATTCTTACCCCCACGTTACAGATAAGGAAATGGAAGCTGACAGCTGCTGCTGGGACTTGAACCCAGAACTTTCTGGCTCCAAACAGAAAACCCGTACTCTTTTAACTCCTCCTGCCTGCCTCCTGATTTTGGGAGGACCAGGACTGTGAGTCAGTGTCTCTTTTCTGTGCTCCCCTCTCTGTGCTCCCACCCCTTCCTTCTCCACCTCCCAGGGCAGATGAAGGAAGCAGCGGGCCTGGGTTCACACCTGGCCCTGCCACTCCCCTCTGTGCTGAACTCTCAGTGCCTCCCACTCTCTTTCCCTACGCGGGGGAGGGGTGCTCCTCTGTAGGTGGGTTGTCGCTGGGACCACATGTGATGATGTGCCCCACAGGTGGGGGAAAGGGATCATTGCTTGTGGTTGGAGTAGCAGGTGAATCGTCACAAGATCAACTGACCCTGCCTATGAACCATGCCTCCAAACCTTGCTCTCTGCCAGTCAGCTAAATAAATTAGTCCTAACCCATGTGACAGCTCGTGCGCTAATGGCAACAGGTTAGCCTTGTGCTACTTCCAGAAGGCCCTCAGGGAGTGGCGGTAACCAGGCTCAGGGAGACAGTTGTGCCTCGGCGAGGCAGTGTGGCAGAGCTTGAGGGGCAGTGCTTTGGGGTCAGACCCTGCCCCTTAAGGCTCTGTGACCTCTGACCATTTGCTCCATCTCTCTGCATTTCTGTTTGCCCATCCCTAAAACGAGATAACACCAAACTCTTGGGGTAGTCAGGAGGGTTTACTGAGATAACCTATATAGAGCTCTGGCGAGATGCTATTGGCACATAGTAGGTGCTCAAAACTTTTGTTCCTGGAAGGTTGTAGAACAGTGCACACTGCACCCCTGAAGACCACAGCCTGGCTGTTGCATGGGAGGGAAAATATATGCAACAAAATTTTCAGTTTTAGCTTCTTTAAGTATGTGATTCAGTAGCATTAATTCACAATGTTGTACAGCTATCACCACTATCTATTTCCAAAACTCTTTCCTCACCCCTGAAAGAGGCTCAGTATCCATTGAGCATTAGCTCCCATCTCACCCTCCCCCAGCCCCTGGTAACCACTAATCTACTTTCTGTCTCTAATAATTTGCTTTTTCTGGATTTTTCATAAAAGTGGGATCATACAGTATGTCTCCTTTTGTATCTGACTTCTTTCACTTGGCATAATGGTTTCCAGGTTCACCCATGTTGTAGCATGTATCAGAACTTCGTTCTTTTCTGTGGCTGAGTAATATTCCCTTGTATGTATATACCACATTTTGTTCATCCGTTCATCTGTTGGTGGACTCTTGGGTAGTTTCCATATTTTGGCTATTGTGAATAATGCTGCAATGAACATTGGTGTACACGTATCTGTTTGAGTCATTGCTTTCAATTCTTTTGGGTATATACCTAGTAGTGGAATTACTATGTCATATGGTAGTTCTGTGTTTAATTTTTTTATGAATATCTGCCTCCTTCTTGAGGTGGTACTGGCCACCTGGGCTGGTTCACAGCTGGTCTGGCAAGAGATGGGTCTGAGAACAGGAATCCCTCTGGCCCCATGGCAGACCTGAGGCTCGGGACGTGGGGTCAACTGTGGCCGGACAGTTCTGAAGGGCTTCCTTCCTCGGCCCAGCCATTGCTGCTGCGCCTTCAGGACCTGCCGAGAGAGACCTGTGCCCCTGCAGAATGTGCTCACCATAAAGGAGCCCAGACCCTGTGTGTGACCCGTGGCCAACAGGCTGGCCATATGTTAGCCGGGGCCCAGCAGCTCCCTCCCCGTGGGCTGCTTGCACCTTCCCAGGCCACCATCAGCCTCTCCTCCCTCCATCCTGAACATAAACATGGGATCAAGTAACAGCATATTTTGACTCTGGGGCAAGAGTGGCTTATCAAATTATCAAAGCCTGTGGATTTAATTGGAATTTTACAGATAACCCCTGGGCTCTTTCAAGTGTGCTGCTGCAGGGGCCTTCGAGAATTCATGCGGCTGAGGTGGAGGAGATGGTGTTCCTTTTCTATCTTGCAGGGAGAGACAAGGTCTGAGGCAGCCCAAC